AATGCCAAATGCAATCGACAAGTCGTCTCAACTAGTAACAGATTTTGCTGGCTATTCGACTCTCCATGGATTTCATTTTGTACTTGGTCTTCACGCTCCAATTCGACGGTTGCTTTGGCTGTGCTTGATCCTGTCCTGCGTCAGCTTTCTTGTAGTGCAGTTGGTCTTAAGTTATCAGAAGTTAAGTGCGCATAGACATGTCCTAGACAGAGATGTCGTTCCTTCTAAGAGCTTGACGTTTCCAGCGTTTACACTATGTAATATCAACATGATGAAAAGGTATGGCATCCTCTCAATTATAGTTAATGTTAGTTTTTGGTTTAATTTAGTCCACTTAAGCCGCCTTACGACGTTACCCAATTTCACCCAAAAAAATCTTAAGCTGCCTTAAGCTGCTCTTAGCCACGGCGCTTGAGGAGGCTTTTGACCTGGAGTCTTTATTAGTGCTTTTCGTTTTTGTAGTATTTCTCTTCATTGTCAATAATCATCATAGTACGTTCTCCTTTCTCTTGCCTCTCCTCTGTTCTAGCTCTGGTTTTTCCTTCTCCATCAAGTTTGCAACGTGTTTTTGTCTTTCTTTGTTTTACCAGTCTTTTTCTATGTTCATTCTCTTTAAGAATGTATGCAAATTTAAGGCTTCTTCCTTTGCCCTTCTTCTTTTTGTGTCTTTTCTACTTCTTCCTCTCAAGTATCTTATTAAATGTCTGAGTGTGTATTTCTTTTTCTGATCCTTCTCTTTTCTATCTAATATACCTCGATCACCATCTAGTTATTTTCCATGTCCATTCCATCCTTTTGATCCGTCCCTGTCTCCTTTCTTTTTCTTCGCTCATGTTCGTTTTATTTAGTCTTAGAAGCTCATTATTTATTATTTTTTTTTTGCTTGTGTGTGCATATTGTTGATTTGCTTGTGTGTGCATATTGTTGATATTTCTAGTAAATATAAACAGGTTATTTGGGATCCAAAATTTCAAACAGTGGTCTGGCACCAATGCGACCAATTGAAAGTTTTAAAATGATACTTTGGCATTCCTGTTCTTATTAAATTTTTGATAACTTGCTCAKTTGACTACAACAGGTTGTAGCCTTTGTGCTTCCCTTCTATGCGAAAAGTTTTGTATTTGATTATAAATGGTAAAATTCCTGTAAAAGGGCATGAAATTATCTGATTATATGAACTCTATGCAGGGGTTTAACGTTATTTAGATTGTGTTGAATTATCAATAATAACTAGTGTTTTAAGCGATATTGTGCATGCTCCATGCCGTGGAAAACCTATCTTCAGTATAGTTTCATATAAGTAGGTTGTCGCTTGAAAGCATGCATGAACCTTCGGATCAAAAATATCACGGTTTGCAAATGTTATATCATTTTTATACATTGTATTGTTGGCAAAAAGTCAAACAAGACCTAAACAATGGCTGACCATATTAGGATAAAAGGACAACAAACCATTTCATAGTAAGGCAAATATAATATGAAAATGTCCAGGATAGCCTGGACAAGGCCCAGGGGCGGATCCAGGATTTCCCTGAGAGAGGGGTGCGTGCTTCTCAGGAGGGGGTGCAGCCCACAAAAATCATTACCATGAAGATACAAATCAAGGAAAGTATTGAAAGAAATATATCCCAGGAGTCGGTGCGCACCCCCTGCACTCATCAGCCGGATCCGCCTCTGAGGTCTTATGCATCCTTACAGGCAAGGCAAATTGAATAATCTTTTATTTTGTCATCTAAAAGCTTATTTGGTTGACATTGAATGAAATATCGTCATCAGATCCATGATCGATGGGACGGATGCACAGTTGTACTTGGATAAGCTAGATCCTGTTAAGGCGAGCCAAGTTGTAAATAAAACTTTATCCAGCTCCTTCGATCTGAAAAAGGCAGTTCTCGAGTATGGACACACAGCAAGCGAAATGATAAAATTGTGTACTTGGAATGGGAAAATTTGCAGTTATAAGAATTTTACGACATCCTTCTCATACACTGTAAGTACCAATATTGTTTTTGTAAATGTTATTTGTAGGTAAATATGAAGAGGACCTGCCCGGTTGACTTTGATAATTGAATTGTTTTGTTTTGATTCACCCAGGGTAAAGAAATTAAAACCGAAAGAAACCAGGTCCGAAACCGGTGAAGGACGCTTCATATGACCAAGCTCTCAGTCTTATTATCAATGTTTCTTAATCACCTATGATGACGACTGACACAGTAATAATTTCTGATTCTCATTGAACTGATTCTATATAAAATAAATAATTGAATGGTAAAATATTCCAGTGTGATCCTTCATAACTCAGAGACGCAACACTGAAATGCAAAAATCTTTCAACCTTCAATTATTTATACTTTATATAGAATCAGCTCACAGAGAATCAGAAATTATTGTGTCAGGTGTCATAGGCACTTTAATTGACTGAAAAGTATCTGCATATTTCCTGTCACAGTATGGCTTGTGTCATACCTTCAACTTAGGAGACAACGAAGAAGAACTATTAAATTCAACTTCAAACCAAAGAGATCTTGGTCTTATTCTAATGATCGATATCAATGACGATGAATATTACGGACCTATTAGCTACCTGTCAACTGGGATTAAAGTCGTCGTGCACGATCAAAAAGAACATCCCATGGTGGACGAATTTGGGGATGATGTCATGCCAGGTTTCACTACTTCAATCAAAATCAAGCGTGAAAAGGTAAGCCTTAAAAAGCCGTGAAAAGGTAATGTTTGTAATCCGACAATGAGGACATATTTCAAGTCCGTGCAATGCGTTCCAATGCAAGACCATAAGGATGCATGGAGATATGTAAGATTCGACGGATAGAAGCAGATTTACGAATGCATGTTTGAATTCACCTCATTTTCCATACATGAAAAATTCAAAACACGATCGCCTGAATATTCTGGTCGACCATATAGGCATCGACACTACTCATGGATTCGTTGCTTCTCATCTTCTGTAATCATTCTTTCCAATTAAAAAACTTGTTTTTGGAGACCGTTGTTAACTGTTGATGTTTAACCGCTCTCCTGTTCACTTTCTTCTTCTTCTTTTAAGTGATTGCAGTAATGCAGATGTAGTGCGTCAAATAAATCAACTTTGCTCTAACTCATTATTTAAAATAGTTGTCAAGAACAACTTGTGCGTGTTTACTTGATGAAGGCATTGTTAGCTTTTCTTCTTCTACATTATCATTGTCAATGTAAATGCAGTACATAAAATTATAATAAGACTAATGCCTTTTCTATATATATTCTTAGTTTCATCGTCTAAAGCATCCGTACAGCTCTGCCTGTGGCAGTAAAAAACTCGTCACTTCGAATGAGTACGTTCGAAGTATATGTATATTGGAATGCAATACTCGTGAGATGATCAAGAAACGGGGATGCAGGCTCCTTGGCATGCCCAATTTACCGGGTAATAATGCTTGCATAGTCCAAGAGAGGATCAAGGAAGATACTTATTCTTGCACTATAGCCATTGGATAATTATACAATATCAAAGGTTCTATAGGGTTCAATCCGCGGTATTAGGAGGTATCACTTATCCACACCTGATATTACAAAAATAACTCATTTTCTCTGACTATTTATCAAATGTTTTTTTATAGTTTTTCAATATTGCCTTTAGCAACTAATTACAAAGACCTTTTTCTGAGATTCTTTGGGGCAGCAAGCAATCAGTGAAATTAACTGCTTTTTTTACCAAAAAATGTACTTTATTCGTTTTATTCGCCAGTCTCTGAGAGGCGTATAGGAATTCTAGAAAAAACACTAATGACTGCATTTACTAGATTTATATAACAATACATTTTTGTTAGAACAAAATTTCATTGCAAATATCCATGTACGTTTAAATTAAGTCTAAAGAGAATGCTGAAAGATCTCCTATTTATCTAGAAAAAAAGGATACATATAAGGCAGCGATAAAGCATAAAAAACCTAATCGTCCCACTTCTTTTGTTACTTCTTTTGTTAATTTGTTTCAGAATTTAACACTACAGGATATTGTAATCCGAGTGAGATTATATCAGGTACCATTGATTGGTTACGTTTTACTGAGAAATATATCTGTATATATTTATCGATTTTTTTTAAATAGAAGATGTGGTTACACCGAGAGCAAGCAATTGTGATTGCCCATTGCCATGTGAAGAAATAAGATA